AAGGGCTGGAAAATTGCTGATTAACTTTTATTTGCAGTCGTTTTTTGTTTTTTTTAATAAGTGTACAGAACAAAGTCTGATATAACGCAACATCTTAATCAAGATATTCTAGGATACCCCGACCCGTCTACTAGCCATTCCCTATTGCAGACGCTCGCTCAAGCACATTTATGTTTGTTCAACACCCACAGAGTCTGTGGTTTATACTGCAACTATGCTGAAAAGACCTTAGAGAGTGTGTTATCTAGTGTGATCAATAATCTGAACAATGCCAGCACACTCAGACCCTCGGTCACAATGACTTGTGACTTCATGCTAACACAGCTATCGACGGCCCCCAAGTGCTCCTTCTACCCAATTTTCACTCACAAGGCATGGTATGGTTTTTGGGCACTTTCCAAAGGTGCTGCACACTGGAATTGTGATGGTGATTTTTAAAGAACATGCATAAACACACTCTGTTCTAATTATTTTAAAAATTTAAATTTATCCATTGTAGTTATGGAATTCTTTGCAAATCAATCATTTCAATATAAGGGAGCAGACTGGAAATTGATAGAAATGTAAAATGGCATTAAATGTTATATGCACTTTAATATGTTGTTGCTATATTCATAATATATTTTGTTGTGTACTGGTTGATTAATTTTGATATAGAGGGCCTTGAGAATTTTAAGGTTTTTTTTTTTTTTTTTTTTTAGTATATTGCTGTCAACAAGTACTTTTCTTTATTGTGAAGGTGGAAAGGGATGTGTTTTTAGATGTTGTGCAATAGAAATGAAGTGTAAGACGCCTTGATAATGTTGTGGTTGTCCAGCCAATATATGTACTTACTTTTTTGTCAGATACAATCTCCCAAAGGACATTTAAATTGATATACAATGTTGGTCTTTTCCAAAACACGATTTGACAGAGAAGAGTTATTGCGCATGATTAATGTTGGTCATGTTAAATTTAGTATAATATATAATTAGTTTTATTTTTTGTCTTTATTAGGATTAGTAGAGATTATATTAGTACTTATGAGATATTTTAGGACTTTTTCATCTTGCTTATAGTTAGAATGCATTTCATTACAGCATAGTAGGTTGATATATTTAGGCCTATTTGAGGAAGTATTATGTTTTTTTTTATTTATGTTATTTCTAGTGACTCGTCTAATTTGTTCATCAACGATGTAATTAGGAAAGTCATTGTTAATGAGAGTTTGTTTTAAGGTTTTTTAAAATCAGTGTAGAAAGTTTTTTTCATGGAGGAGTTAACTTTTACATGGTGTATCAAATTTTCTATAATAGCTTTTTTGTAATAGTCAGGGCATTCACTTTTATAGTTTAGAGTGCAAGTGTTTATGCTATTTGTTTTTATATAGGAAATAGTAAATGTATTATTAGTGCCTATCAATACATCAAGAAAAGGAATTTTATTAAGTTCATATGTGAAGTTAAGAACAGTTTTTTTTAAACATTTTTGTAGTTCATGTATAATTTACCCCTGAAGATGATATTAGAAAGGATTGAAAGTACTTACGTTAAAAAAAAAAAAGAAAAAAACACTATGGCACCTTTCTTGTTGAATTTCATCTTAACATCAAGAAACTGATTCAAGAACTGGAAAGGATCAGTATGAAAATAAGTAGACATGTCTATATTATTCATTGAAACATGTCTGAATGAGAAATGCCACCTAAAAGGTTGTTACATATTTGTTCATTTTTTTCTGATGTTCTGCAAATGATCTCAAAGAATAATCTTTCATAGAATTTTTTTGCTTTTTTGCTCTCATGAAACTTGAACATTATTGAAATTTTTCTTTCAGATTCGACACCTCTTTGAGACAGCATGTCAAGTAGACAAGAATGAGTATGTACAAGATCTCTTTGCTTTTAATCTTGATCACAAAGCTGCTTGAGACATTTGTGTTGTGTACGATAAGTTCATCACCAATAGAATATAAAATGTTTTAAAACAGTCATTGCCAAGCTGTATGTTGAACAAATGTACAAGTTCAAAGAGGCAATTCAGCTGAACAGACCTGATCAGTGATACAGGGTAAATGCTCTACACCCCTACGATCCCACACGCATCATTAAATTGACAAAAAAAAAAATGCAATTAAAGAGCTCAGTTGAGAAGTCCTGCCACACCCACCATATTATTCTCCTGACATAGCCCCTTCAAACTGCCACCTGATCATTTTCACAAGGGGTGTTTCATTCAACAATAATGTTGAGCTTAAAATGTAGCTTGATGAATTTTTCTAGTCAAAATCTTGTGATTTCTATTGCTGAGGTATTGAACAGTTAGTGGGTCATTGGCAGGAGGTTGTAAACCATGAAGGGGAAGACATTGCTGAGTGAGTCATCAGAACTTAATAAATAAGTATTAAAATAAATTCTAAAAAAAAAAAAAAAAAAAAAAAATATTTATGTACAAAACTAATAGAAATGGTTCACTTAACTTATAGCCAGAGTTGGAGTTTTATGGATTTTTTTTTTCTTTTTACCTTCCAACCTGATGAATTTTCTTATTGGTTGGAAATCTCTGCCAATGAAGAGGGACAGAAAAATCAGCAGCACCAGAATCAAATACTAAAAGGGCTGAACTCTGAATCATGAAGAGCATGGCATGAACAAGGAACACTACATGCATGGGACAATTGTATAATGATGTAAGATTAATGTTAAAAATAATTTTGAATTTTTTTCAATTAAAAAATTTAATCATATAAAAGTTACATGTTGATGAAATAGTGATTGTTCTATTTGATTAAATTCAAAATATACAATCCACTAGGAGTAGATTTGCCCATTGTCCTGTTCACACTCTTCCCAAGTCCTTTGAACAGGTGTAGAGGTTTATTCCCGGTTTCCAGTTCCTTCTAAAGTCTTTTTTATTCTCTTTCACTCCCAGTAGCCCCTTGCATCTTAGTGGTGTTATTGTCTTGTTTGGGGTGAATTGAATTGATTGATTTTGATCAAATTGCCTACACAACACCGGGGCAGTTCATGTGTAGTTAAAAAAAACAAAAAAAAAAAAAAAAAAAAAAAACAAGAAAAACACGACTGTTCAAAATATGAACATCTGCAAACAGTTAATTTGATAAAGGGCTTCAATTATTTATAACTAATTTATATAGAGACGGAAATTAGATAATTAAACATTATCTTTTCACCTCAAGCAAGGTAATAAACCCATGAAGACAAGAGGGTTACTGAATGTTAGAGAATGAGGAAAGAAGAAAAAAAGAAGAAGAAAAAAAGAAGAAGAAGAAAAAAAGAAGAAGAAGAAAAAAAGAAGAAGAAAAAAAGAAAAAAACACATAATTTGGAAGAGAGACCAAAAGAAAAAGATTAAATTAAGACAGAAGATAGCCATTGCTATTGATCTCAAAAAATTTAAATGCAAAGTTGAATGAGAAGCTCAAAGTCTGAAGAGAGTTCCACAAGTGAGAAGTGCAATAGAAGAGACTGTTAGCATAGAACTTGCAGTAACATCTAGCCACTTAAACTATCAAATTATGATACCTTGCCACTAATCTAGTTATGTGCCATGCATGATACACGCTTAGGCAATCATCTATCTTTTGGTACAGGACTGAGGCAGATTTTTTTTCCAGCAGTAAGTCGTCATTTCTTTCTGCAGTAGACCAGTTGCCATCCAAGACTATAGAACCAGGTCTGTCCTGCTATTTACCTATAGCTTGGGGAAGAAGAGGATTCATACCTTTCACGTATGTATTGGATTTGACTGTGCTGAAATTCATAGTCTAGGTACCATAGAGGAAAGTTCATCAGAACAATTACCAAGAAAGTATTTATAGAAAAGGTACAGGGAAGCTATGTTACAGTGGTAGGAAAGTGACTGAAGCTGACAAATATAAAATGTATTAAATATAATGCAAAAGGGATCTTGACTGGTCATGAATTTTTTAAATTATTAAAATATTTAAGCTATCTGTAATACAATATTTATTATTTACCATTTTTTTTTAAAAAAGCATTTCACCCTAAGCAAGCGACAGTGCCACTAGAACATAAGTGGTTACAGAGAGGTAGAGCAAGAGAATAGAGGCGTGTTTGAGAAAAGGATAAAGAGAAGGACAGGGGAACTAAATTAGGTCATCAGAAGATGCTGATTGTCATTACATTTAAATATTTGAAGACTATAACCAAGGAAGTAAGTAAGTGGAAAGAAGTTAGACTGAAAGTGCAAGATAAGAAGCTGTTGGGGTAGAAGAGACGGCGACATTTAATCATTTCAAAAGTGAAAGGGTGGGACCTAGTAACACACTTAAATTCATGCAGTTTGGGAACCAGTGAAAGCAGCTTGTCAGAGCAGTTGCTGCGTTAATCATGATCTTGAAATCCAAGGCCTAAAACTTCAACAATTATAAGTTAACCATCTTCCTACTCATTTTTTAAAAAAATTTGTTGCAAATTAAAAAAAAAAAAAAAAATCCTTTTCACGTTTATTTCTTTGTAAAATGGTAAATAAGATCTTTATAAAAGGCAAATAACTTTTCAAATTTTGTAAATAAACATTGCTGAGGGATTGAATGCATTTAAAATAATAGTAATGTCAATAGAAAAAACATCCTTTTGAAAAGTTTTTTTTTGTTTTTTGCAAGCACAAAGGTCTCCATTTGGTGAAAATAAATAACACACACCAAGTTATTTTTCTTTGCTACTATTAAAAATAAAATTTCACTACAATACAGATTGTTTCTAGGCTAATAATGTTTATCTAATCCAGTAGAATAGACAAGACTGAACCTTAGACAGTAACCTTTCAACTGACAATGTTAATTCAGAATTTGTCCATTGCAGAAAATTTTAACAATAGATGCAGTGTCAGACACACAAATTTTTTTTTCTTGCCTTTGTTACAATTTTTTTGATAACTGATAAAAAGGACACTCATTCTGTTGTGTATAGAGACAGGAAACATTTTTGTTAATGCCTAATATTTCTGGAATTAAGTCAATTTCTGATGATAAGGCTTATGGCCACATCCCATGTAAACACCAGTTCCCAGCCGATCACTTAAGTTAAGCAAAGTTGAGCCTGGTCAGTACCTACATGGGTGACCGCTTGGGAATACCAGGTGCTGTAAGCTTGGATGTGTGGGTGGTCTACTGTCTCAGAACTGTTAATCAGAGAACCAAGTTCCAATTCCCATTGGGTTCATTATATTCACTTACACACAAATACTCTTAGGAAAGGTATGAATCTGTTCCCCCAGTTATGGGTTAATTAGTAAGGCATTTAAAGAAAGAAAGAAAAATTCTGATGGAGATAACTCAAGCTGCTTAATCTTTGCCTTCAGATAGTATTTAAATCTGTGGAAAATAGTCAACCAACAGACCTTAAAAGGTGATAGGAGGAAAGTTGAGTAATGTTTTATACTAGTACTGTAGACAGATTTAGGTCACAAGAGAGAGAGAGAGTTGATGATATCAAGATAAATGTAGAGAATTATTGAAAGTTTTTGGACGGTATGTAATAAGTTTATCAGATTCACATTTATTTTAGTCTTTAGAGAATGAAAACAAATCCATTCACCTGGAAGACTGCAAAAGCACAAAGATAATTTCTAGGAAGATGGAATTATGCAAATGCCTAAAAGATGGCAAAAAATATTGACACAAAAAAAAAAAAAAAAAAAAAATCTTGGAGGGTGGGGATATCCTGTAAGATATGGAAATTTTTTTTTTTTTTTTGTGAATTTTAAAAGGAATGCAAGATTTTAAGTAAGATTTTCATTGGGGAGCGGGGGACACATACATCCAACAGAATTGATATAGAAGAAGAAAAGAAAAACTTTTAGTTCAAGCATAAATTGTATGCAAAAAAAAAAAGGATCACAACTTTAACTAGAGTCAAATTATATTTCCCAACTAATCAATAAAACAGTATTTACATTAGTCGGACTATTGTCCTCATCTTTGTCATTATATTTGTCACAACGTTTTGCCGTTGCAGCTCCGCCCTTCTTCAGGTGGTTGGAATTTCGAACTGAACCCTTTATTTCGATCGCTGGGTAGACTGTTCTAATTCCACGTGCCATGTTTGATGGATCCAGTGACAGACCCAAAGAAGGTGAGTTCAATTCCTGGTTAAGGCAGTGGAGAACTTTCAGAGGGAAAATTAGCAGGAGATAACTGATAACTGACATCCATCAAACATGGCACGTGGAATTAGAACAGTGATCGAAATAAAGGGTTCAGTTCGAAATTCCAACCACCTGAAGAAGGCCGGAGCGTACAACGGCCGAAACGTTGTGACAAATATGGCGACAAAGATGAGGACAATAGTCCGACTAATGTAAATACTGTACATAATACCTCATCTCAGAAATATAGACAAACTCTAATCAATAAAAGACAAGTTTTGCTGTTGCATCAACTGCCCTGTTTGGAGATGAGCACCATTATTATCATAAACAGAATTTTTCTACGTTTTCAGTGATTGGTTCATTTGTTTTTCTCACGGGATGAAACTGCATGAACTTTCAATCTTTCTGAAATAAAATACCCGGGGGGGGGTAAAAAAAAAAAAAAAAAAAGGATTTCTCAGAGTACAAGCACATCATGTGGTTGAAACAAACTAAACAAAAAGATATTAAAAAAAACATTAATTTTATATCCTCCGTATATCAATGTGTTTCTCGACCCAGAATTGTTGGGGAGGGATATTTGATAATGGACATAATGTTACATAAGTCAAGCATAAATTCTGAGAAAAATAAAAAATTTAATAAATAAATAAATTATAATATGAGCATACATCATAAAGAAAAAAATGAAAAATTATGAAAAAAGTTTTATAATCAAAATCTTTAAGAGGAATGCCAGAAGAAATTTTTGAAATTAATAAATTTTATTTTTTTAATCAATCCTTTCCATGAACCTTCAAAATTGTTTTTCTTGCTTCAGAAGGGTTTGTTTTGTATTTCAGCAAAGACATGAATTCGCAAATTCTTACAAATATCACAATTGACAGAGAACTTTCAGAACTTATTCACAAATGAACACAAATTATTATGGACCCGTTTATTTTGAAAATCTTGGTAATTTTTTGTTGTTGCACACATCTGTTACTTTGAATTTTTTCTGCGTATGTATAATCGTGCCAACTTTTATAAATACAGATGTCCATACGATATCAGAAAATGAGAGCGGTAATATAGCAAATTTAAAATTCCTTGGTAATTTATTTCCTCAATAAGTGTCTTCTTGAGACTATATAGTATAAAACCAGAGTACCTAGAATTCAGTAAGAAGTTAACTTAAATTGCTTATTTTTCTTAAATTTTAAAGGTTACTGGTTATACTAATTTCCCACCTTTGAAAAAAAAAAAATTCCCAAACATATGTAATATGTATCAAGATAGTTGTCAGCACCTCACAAATATATCCACCTCCATGTTAAATAATGTTTCTCGGTAATATTTTTTAAATTAAAAGTAATGTTTAAAATCAGTTAAAGTTCCTCAAATAAAATTTCAGGAAAGTAATTTTTTTTAATATTTTCTTTTAAAAGTGAATTATGTTTTGCCGACAGATTTGTATGGTTTTTAAAATCAGACCCCTTTTTTTTTTTTTTTTTTGCGATTTAAAAAAAAATCGTTTTTTTGAAATTCATCTTACTGAAAATAATTGATTAGATTATTGAAACTAAAATAAAAGCTTCAAGAAAGATTTTTCATTATCTTTCTTGAGGGCATCAGGACTTCTAAATTGTATAAAATTTAATAAGTGAACAAAAACAGTTTTTGTATGTTAAAAAAAAATTAAAAACACGAAAAATGAAAGTCAAGTGACTGTGTTTGTTATAAAAACTCATTTCTAAGATTAAAAAATTAGACTTTGTAGTCACGTGAACTGAAAACTCATCTTTGCACTTACCTGAAATAAAGTCGAAAATTTAGAGAAAAAAAAGAAAAAGAAACAAACAAACAATTCCAGAACTTTTTTGTAAATAATTTACAAAGCTGCTGAAAAGTTCTCGGCCCAATCCGCTTCCCAAGCGACAAAAATCGGAATCTCTTCTTCGTCGGGCTGAAAACTTTTCAATGAAACTATGAAGTCATTAATGGTTTTTTTTTTCATGTTCGCAATAAAAGACAGGGTAAAATGTTTAAATTTTTAAAGTTTTAAACAAAAATAAATAAATAATTATAGCACTTTTTAAAATTTTTTTATTGTTTCGTAAGCGAACAACAACAACAAAAGGCAAAGTTGTTAGCTTACTAGATATATATTTCATAATCAAATATATACAAATAAAAATAAATCATTTCCCCCTTTATTTCTGATATTCAAAACAATATATAAACAAACTGAAACCTGTTGAAGTTCTTGAGTGAATTATTGGGAGTTAGGAAGAGATGTCATTTTTTTTTTTTTAAGGACAATTTTAAAGACGTGGCATTTTATCATTTTCACTCTTTTTCTCTAGAAAATAGCATCTAATATAAATTGTAGATCATGAAAATTACAACAAAATATATTTATAAGGGAAAAAAATAGTAATTATACAAGTAACTTAGCTCAAAATTTCGGCTTGTTTTTGAGTTGAGTTACTTTGTATGGCTGGAATAATTTCACGGCTGTTATACGAACTTGGTGGTAATCTTCTCTCCGTTCAAATCGAACTAAAATGCAATGGCAAGCTCCTTCAGAGGCATGGATAAACAGTTGGGGAGTTTCTGTAACCATATTTAGTGTCCTTAAATAGGAGAAAGGGTCGACAGTTTGATGGGTGAAAACTTTTCTTGGTTCTTGACGTCCAGGTTTTCTTTCCGGGGTAAAACCTTTTGTCATGTTTGTTGGTAAATATTGTTTTCAACAACCGAGAAACAATGGGGTTTAAATTTCAAGTATGTCCAACTTTATCCATTCTTTTTCTTTCTTTTCCTTGAAAGATTCTGGAAGGAAGGTACAAGGCCATCAGAATTAGGTGTAAAAAACGAAAATAATCCAGTCATCGTGTCCAGATTTAAAAAAAAAACATCCACCTTTTCGGAGTCCTAACAAACAGAGGGTGTTTTTCGTTTCCTTGTTCGTTATACCAAGTTCCGTCTCCGGGCATAATAGCCGAGACATGCACAAATTCCTAGAATACTAACAACTAATCCGAGCACCAGTGCCAAAATGTCACCTGCATCAAAGGCTGACACTCCGGGAACACGGAAAGCAATCAGAAGTAGAGACAAGAAAAACACGTTATTCACGAAGTCAGCCATCTTTGAACAACAATAGACCACGTGACCCGTTTGAAATAAGGAGGAGGGTGGCATTTTTAAGTCACATGGGGATGGATCAGTATTTGTTCACACGCCCATTTTTATCTACAACCTTTTTCGTTCAAATTAAATTAAACAAAAAAAGAAATTAAAGATCAACGCTTTTGTTTAAAGCAACTGTAAAGTTAAATTATATATCATGTTATGCTGTTTCAAAAGTCTTCCACACAACTGGCTTTATTTTTAATTACATTAATTTTTTGTATATTGAATTTTTTTCCTCTACATTACAGAGAAAGAGCTAGCCTATATGGCAATAATTGTTTTTTTTTTAACATTTCCCTTGTTACATTTTTCAATAAGATTGATATGATAAACATTTGCCTTAATAAAGTCCCTCAGAGAACAAAATGCATTGGCTAAGTTTTCCTCTTGCCTTTTTACTTTATTCATAGATATGAGATTGATAGAGATGAACAGACGATAGATAGATAGATAGATAGATAGATAGATAGATAGATAGATAGATAGATAGATATGAACAGACTGAATGTATTATTCTGGCTTTTTTTTTTCATATTCAAACTGTACTAAGAAAATAACTTAAACTCCTTTTTTCAAGTGTGATGAAATAAAGTTAAAAGAAAAGAAAATGTAGAGAATTTGAGAAAACAAACAAAAAGTTACCTGCTCACAATTTTTTTAAAAAAAGCACAATTACGCTCATGAATTTCAAAACAAACTGAAGAATAACTGATATTTAAATCAAATGATAAAAAATCTACAAATTAAATTTCCCAATAAGATATAACTTTTTAGACAAGAAAACCTCATTCAACATGTGGACAAATTCTGCCTTAAACTATA